CCAGCAGCTCATGCATCATCGAGACAAAGACATGCACTGCTAAAGAGAAGAAGACATGCTTTTCCCAAGGAGAAATCTTGGGTCAGGCACGACCATCTCTCATCCAGCAGCTCGTCGGTGTGCATGCGGACATGGAAGAAACCCCACTCATGGCATGCTCAGCTGAGCTTTCCCAACTCGTCCTTGTTGTCAGCACGGTGGCAGGTCGCGGACGTAAGCTGGCCCACGATTTCCCCTCAATCCAGTGCCGAATAAGCAATCCCGATGCCCAAACGATCTTTGAGCGACAAACGACCGGGGTCGACTGGGATTGAAAATGACAGGGTGCTAGTTTTAGAGATTTCGAGATCATGGTTCGATTCAAAGTGTGAATATAAATTTAAGGTTTATTTTAGACTTTTCTCTTTTATAGCATACTAGGACAACATTTGTGCATTGCAGTGAGATATAAATGTTCACCCGTCATCACTGATAGACACATCCAAACTGTAATCCTGTCATGTCAGCTCATGAGACTCATATTTGCTCTTTTCAAGGAAATGTTTATGTTCAACCCAAAGTCAATCAAGTTGCCCGTCAAGATATATAACATTCAAAATTGTTGGTGATGTTAGCCAATCTTTTGGTTACGGTTTCTAAATTATACTGCTTCATAATACACGCAGTTTGTTTGTGCAAATATAAAAACACCAAATGCTTGAAGATGGTAAAAATAAAGAAAAAGATTTCTCTATCGGTCGACATGGAAATGCTACGTTGGCGGTCATCGCAGGCAGGACAATACTTTTGTTAGTCGTGCATGCAGTGCACATATTTAGCTTCAAATCAATCCTCCCTCCGCAAGATATAGAAATTGGGTAGCTAATCTCACGCGAGCCATGAGCTTCTAAGTTGGAGTCCTGATGAAGACAACCCCTTTTACGAATCAACCTGTGGTTGAGATGGTTAGGTGGACAGTGGTATCCCCAACCCATCAGGGTTCAAATCCTGATGCTCGCATTATTCCTGGATTTATTTCAGGATTTCCGGCGATGCGCCTTTAGTGGGAGGAGACGTTCCCGTCGACGACGAGGCGCCTACGATGGCTTCGTAAATCTCAAGATGATATGCCGGCTCAGTCTCTCGGAGGTGCTCATAGGGGTAGGGGGTGCGTGTGTGCGTTCATAGGGATGAGTGTATGCGCGTGTATATGAGCGCTTGTGTCTGTACGGATGCTCAAGAAAAAAAAAGACAACCCCTTTTAATTTGTCTTACATTTTTCCTTTTAATTTGTCTTTCCTCACTTACAGGTGGGACCCATACCACTCTGGCGAGCCACATGGCAAGAGTTAATAGTGAGTTGACGGCAATAGACGGAAATGTACCAAAATGTATGTCAAACACAAGTTATGGGGTCAGTTTGTGTCATTTTTCAAGTTTGTGTATGAAATTGTACCTATCATGCAAGTTTATGTAACATAAGTGTAATCAACTCTTATCAATATATAGACAAGTAGTAGAGATACAGAGATAGAGATACATAATGGCGGTTGAATCGGTGCGATCAAACGAGCACACTTGAGACCGTGGATCATCGAAATACATAAACCAGATAAGTAAGATCATCTAATACGGAGGCGGTCGTTTGGACTACGGCGACATATGTCCCTGCACTGGTGGAAAAAGGGCCTTTGGTCGCGGTTCGCAACTGCCATTAGTCGCGGTTGCGCAACCGCGACCAGACGGGCGCGACTAAAGGCCCCCCCTTTAGTCGCGGTTGCTTAAGAACCGCGACTAAAGGCCCGTCCACGTGGGTGGAGGACCTTTAGTCGCGGTTCTTGTGGCTAACCGCGACTAAAGGCCGCCACAGGTTTTTGAAAAAAAAAATTGAATTTTTTTTTTCAAATTTCTGAATTATTTTAACCTCTAGTCTCTAATCACCACCCCTCATCACTTCTCAATTTATTCTTTTATCACCCCTCATCATTCCAAATCATCTAACTTCCCAACCGGTCACCCATCCCTCTCACTACTCCAGCCCAAGCACGCTTAACTTCCGGGTTCTATTCTCCCACGCTCCAAGTCTGCACTTGTTGTTTTCCTGACAATAATAAGATGTCAATCCTATTAACCTTCAGGAATTTTGCTTGAGCATGAAGTGACACATTTCACTGTTTGAGTTTGAAACTATTGTTTTAAAAAACAATAATTATTTAGTAACACTAATATTTCTTGAATAATTAGTTTGACCATAGTTTGACCACAGTTTGACCACAGTTTGACCAGATTTGACCAAAATTGAAATAATTAAAATAATTATTTAGTAACACTAATATTCTAGAATAATTAGTTTGACCATTGTTTGACCATAGTTTGCCCACTGTTTGAATATTTTTCAATTTTTTCCACTCTAGATCTTACAAGCCCCGTAACTTTTTTTCTATTAGGTTTTTGAGGATTTTGAAAATGTTTAACGGGGTTCCCCCGTTAAATTTGGATGTAACTTTTCGAGTAGATGATTTTTCATATAAAAAACTTTTTCATCCGAGTTAGTATGCAAAAGTTATGCCCATTTTTACAAATTTCAGAGAGATTTTGCAAATAAAGTCAAAATTCACATTTGCAAATTTTCCCAACAACTAGACCACATATCACATGAGAAACTTATTTTCTTTTATTTTTTTGACATTTCCATTATTTTCTTTTATTTTTTTTAAAACTGAAAAGGCGATCCCAGGGGGGGTAGAGTTTGAAAATGGGACCTTTAGTACCGGTTCGTGGCACGAACCGGGACTAAAGGTCTCAACCCCATTAGTTCCGGTTCGTGCCACAAACCGCGACTAAAAGGGAGGAGCTTTAGTCGCGGTTGGCCTGGCCGCAAGTTTCTTCCTCCCGCACACTACTCGGCCGCCACAGCCGCAAAAGTAACCTCGACCTTCCCGGTGGTTCCGACCGGCGTCCGACTCCTCGAACAATGAAGGCACCACAAACGACCACCGGCGAGCGGTCCGTCCCGTCCTCTCCGGCCTCGTCTACGACGCTGTCGGCGAGCTCATACAAAGGGCCTTTGGTCGCGGTTCGCAACTGCCATTAGTCGCGGTTGCGCAACCGCGACCGGACGGGCGCGACTAAAGGCCCCCCCTTTAGTCGCGGTTGCTTAAGAACCGCGACTAAAGGCCCGTCCACGTGGGCGCCAGGTGGCCTTCGGGGCGGAGGACCTTTAGTCGCGGTTCTTGTGGCTAACCGCGACTAAAGGCCGCCACAGGTTTTTGAAAAAAAAATTGATTTTTTTTTCAAATTTCTGAATTATTTTAACCTCTAGTCTCTAATCACCACCCCTCATCACTTCTCAATTTATTCTTTTATCACCCCTCATCATTCCAAATCATCTAACTTCCCAACCGGTCACCCATCCCTCTCACTACTCCAGCCCAAGCACGCTTAACTTCCGGGTTCTATTCTCCCACGCTCCAAGTCTGCACTTGTTGTTTTCCTGACAATAATAAGATGTCAATCCTATTAACCTTCAGGAATTTTGCTTGAGCATGAAGTGACACATTTCACTGTTTGAGTTTGAAACTATTGTTTTAAAAAACAATAATTATTTAGTAACACTAATATTTCTTGAATAATTAGTTTGACCATTGTTTGACCACAGTTTGACCACAGTTGACCACAGTTTGACCAGATTTGACCAAAATTGAAATAATTAAAATAATTATTTAGTAACACTAATATTCTAGAATAATTAGTTTGACCATTGTTTGACCATAGTTTGCCCACTGTTTGAATATTTTTCAATTTTTTCCACTCTAGATCTTACAAGCCCCGTAACTTTTTTTCTATTAGGTTTTTGAGGATTTTGAAAATGTTTAACGGGGTTCCCCCGGTTAAATTTGGATGTAACTTTTCGAGTAGATGATTTTTCATATAAAAAACTTTTTCATCCGAGTTAGTATGCAAAAGTTATGCCCATTTTTACAAATTTCAGAGAGATTTTGTAAATAAAGTCAAAATTCACATTTGCAAATTTTCCCAACAACTAGACCACATATCACATGAGAAACTTATTTTCTTTTATCTTTTTGACATTTCCATTATTTTCTTTTATTTTTTTTAAAACTGAAAAGGCGATCCGGGGGGGTAGAGTTTGAAAATGGGACCTTTAGTACCGGTTCGTGGCACGAACCGGGACTAAAGGTCTCAACCCCATTAGTTCCGGTTCGTGCCACAAACCGCGACTAAAGCCCGTGAGCGCCCTGGGCCCAGGCATTTGGTCGCGGTTCATCTGCCGAACCGCGACTAAAGACTTCATTAGTCGCGGTTCCTACAGTTTTGCGACTAATGGGGCTGGACGGAAGCCTCTTTTTCTACTAGTGCTGGTACCACAGTATGCGCTTGTGCTTCGTGATCCGTAGCTAAACTAGCGTATATGAATGTACGGTTAGGTCTCTCAGATGGTAAAGCAGGTTATACACGATGCAACAGTGCTACATAGACTGCAGTACATGATACGACGCGGTTTGCATCACAGATCATTCAATGCGAAACTTCAGAGGCACATCTTCTTTTAGTACTACTAGTACAGGTTGCCGTGTGCCATTATGTTGTCCCCCGATCTTGTTGACTAGTCTGGGATCAAAAGATGGTCATCCTTCGGCAAACTTTTTATACAATTACAAAAGAAGGTCATATTTATTTCCAAAAAAAGCTTTTCCTTCGTCAAACTTTTTACACAACTACAAAAGAAGGTCATGTTTATTTCCAAAAAAGTTTCAGAAATTTTTGACTTTTTTGTGATTACTATTTTTTTTCATATCAGGTGCATATACACCCTATATAAAAATAGTAATTACAAAAAAATAAAAATAATTGAAACTTCTTTTGAAATAAACTTGACCTTCTGTTGTACTCGTATTAAAAGTTTGGCCAAGGAATAACTTTCATGGTATTTTTGGTGAAAACAATAATCGACAATATACTCCCACCGTTTCAAAATATAATGCTTCATCTATTCCCGTGCTTTAACTTTGACCATAAATTTAACCAACAAGACCGACTCCGGCGGGAGCAAAAATTATACCACTGAATTCGTATTCAAAAGAAGTTTTTCAATTATATAATTTTTTCTCCCGCTGCAGTCGGTCTCGTTGGTTAAATTTATGGTCAAAGTTGGACCACTGAAAGCGCGTGCACTATATTTTGGAATGGAAGGAGTATAAAAGTTACTATTCATGCTTCTTGTCTTTGAATATTATTTTATTTTTGCCTTGAAGTTGATGTCACTTTTTCCTTCCCAAAACATTTTATACAAGTACAAAAGAAGATAAAGTTTAATTAAAAAAGAAAAAGATTTTGTTGACTTTTTTCGTAATTACAATTTTTCCCATATCAAGTATATATAAACCCGAGAAACAAAGGGTATTTAAAATGAAAATTGTAAACCCACGTTCTACATGATTTGCTAATCTTAAATAAAATATACTAAGGTAAGTAGTTCATTGCTAAGAATAACAACTCGATTTGGTCAACATTAAAAAACGGACGTACATATAGCACGTTAGCATGATTGAAGAACAATGAAAATATTACGTAACGCTTTACTGAACAGGCATCATTTTATTAAACAAAATGTTGGCCGTGCGGAGAGAAGTTGTATGAAGATTAATGGAAATAAAATTAGTAAATTTAAGATGACAAGCTCAGTAGTAATGTTTAGTGCAGGAACAGTTGACTGCCCTGACGAGTACAGACGTACTGTGTAACGTGTACTGTGTAACATGTACTTCGCAAAAAAAAAAGTGTACTGTGTAACGTGTAGCAAGTCAAGGATAGTGGCCGATGAGTGGCAGCTTTTGGTGGTTCAATGCGCGAGTGGGCCATAGCTGCGTACAGGTACAAAGGCATCATCTCACTGATGCAGTTGAGATGGAGCCGGACTGACCCCGATAAAAGATCCTGATCTACCGGTCAAACTCCTCAGGCTTCAGCATTGACAGAGCCGAGCTCTCTGACCATGCTCCGCAGGTTCTCCCAAGACACCCCGCCGGGCGCCACGGCCTCCTCCGCCTTGACCTTCCACCCAGCCGCGCTCTCCTGCATGTCCTTCGCCTTCATCGCATGCCTGACGTGGCTAGCCACCTGCTCCCTCCTCACCTCGTCGTCAAGCCGGACGCCCACGGCCCACACCTCGCAGGCGTACTTGCAGTTGGTGTACTGGTCGGCGAACCCCGGCCAGCACACCATCGGCACTCCGGCGGCCACGCTCTCGCAGGTCGAGTTCCACCCGTTATGCGTCAGGAAGCACCCCACGGCCGGGTGCCCTAGCACCTGATCCTGCGGGCACCACGTGGTCAGGAAGCACCGCCCTGCAGTCGCCGCGACGAACTCCGCCGGCAGTGAGCTCAAGCCAGCGCCGGCGCCGGCGCCGGGGACGAGGTTGTCCCTGATGGACCAGAGAAACGGTTGGCCGCTGGCGGCGAGGCCCCACGCGAACTCGGCGAGCTGGTCGGTGGAGAGGACCGTAAGGCTGCCAAAGTTGGCGTACACGATGGAGCCCGATTGTTGCGTGTCCAACCACGCGAGGCACTCGTTGTCCTGCTTCCACAGGCTCAGGCCGCTGGCGGAGCCGGAGGCGTCGTCGTCCCTTGGCCTTAGGTGGTGGTTGAGGAGGGGGCCTAGGGGACCGACAGTGTAGATGCGCGGGTATTCGGCGCGGAGAGCGGCGAGGACGTCGGCTTCTAGGTCGTCGAAGGTGTTGAGGATGAGCGCGCCGGCCTTGGTGCAGCCGTTGGCCTCCACGATGTTGAAACGGAGGCCGAAGTCGTCCGGGTCGGTTGTGCGGACGAAGCTTGAGGTGTCTCCGAGGCTGATCGGCGGCATGCCCGGGATCCAGTCGATGACCGTTCTACTCAGGTGTCCGTTCGTCAAGCAGCTCTCGTCTGCAAACATACGTACGTAATAACAGTACAAACAATGAAACAAATACTGTAAGTTGCTCAAAAAACAAAGGTTTGCCAAGTTGCTCGAAAATTTATAATAAGGCAATGTTTTATTATTTTTTGAATAAACTAAGGCAATGTTTCGAGGCAAAGAGTTGTAAAAATCACATTGAGTTTTGAGAAACAGATTTTTTTTGTATTGTTTCTCAATTGGATAGGAGAGATGATTTGTGACAGACAAGTGCAGGGACGCGCATGTCCTTGGTGCTCGCATTTTATTTTGGCTTTTGATTTTTAAAATTTTATATCTTTTAAACAAAAAATTTCAAATTAAGTTCCCTTTCCATGTTCGTGTTTCTTGTGACCAGCACTTTCAAATAAGATCCATTTTGTGATGACCTTTTTAAAAAATGTTAAGTTTCAATTTTGGAACTTAGTACGAACAACCGATAAAAATTAATTATTTTGTGTCTACAGCCGACACAAAAATTGCTTGAAATTATATCTCTGAAACTGGTTGAAACTCGGCAGTTTTACACGCAAAAATCCTAAATTTCACCGTTGAAACTTGAGACTTTTTTTAGGGATTTTCTTTTTACTGTGCCCTCTTGCGGAATAGAACTACTGTGTGAATCGCGAGGCAAAAAGAGTGGACGACAGGACTTACAGATGAGTGCCTCCGCACTCGCATGCCCTGCGCATTCAGGAAATAGCTGTAGCTCAATCACTCCATACCGTTAGATTAATGTGCACCAAGATTTGTGCTGCCACAAGAAAAAATCGTATTGCCTCAAAAGACAAGCTCCCCATACGTGCCATGGAGCGCAGGTTCTTCGGGCTGTTTGGTTGATGCCCGCCAAATCGTGGGCTTCGTGGGCACACCAAAATATTGGCGGCTGATTTGGCCACCCCTAGTTTCGCCAATGAATTGGCGCGGAAGTACAAAGGAAAAGTCAGGGTAAGTTGGTGAACCAAAACTTTGGATCCTATCCAAACAACCTGCAGTGCTCCAGACCTCCGGTCAACGCCAAAATATTGACTGGGCATACAGGGGATCCAATCTAAACGGCCCATTGGTGCCCGGATGGCCTTTTCTTGTGGTAGTTTTCTTTTCTTCACTTTCTTGTTCTATTAGCATGGACTTTTTTATCCACATTGTGTGGACAAGGCAATGCAAATTGGAACTGTTGAATCAAACATTAGCCCCGAGAAGTTAATGGTGTGCTAAATGAGCTAGTTAGAGTTTGTTATCATAATAGCTTCTCTTGTAGTACTTGGGATGATGATCTTTTAATTGCTTACTCGTAAATCTTGCAAATGGTGTAAGTGTTGCTTTAGTTAATAAAGCTAGCCATGATGGCCTTTTCTAAAAAATAGCATAGAAAAAAAATTCAGCCAAAAAAAAGCATGGATTTTTTTAAGGAAAAAGTATAACCTTTTGTCCTTAACTATTTGAAAAGTATAGAAATGATGCGTCAACTCTTAAACCAGGAAAACCTAGTCCCTCAACTGTCAAAACCGGATAAATTTTCATCCCTCGGGCCACTCTGGGTGGTTTTGGACTGACGTGGATCCGATATTGACCAATAACTTCCCGCCTCATATGGATCCGGCCGCCGCGCTGCATCTCCTGCTCGCCCGCCGCCATAAAACTGCAGAAGGCGGTGATGAAGGCGTCGACTCACGCAACATTATGCGTGCTTGTCCCAACTTGTAGTCAAAGTTTTGATCTAATTTGATTTAAAATGTAAGAGAAAGCTCGGTATGCGAGGTAAAAAGTAACGGAGAGACCATTTTTCATTCTTACCTTTCACGTGTATGCATATTCAGTCCACATCATGTTTATGCATGTTTTTCATTGGCTATTAAGTTCACAATGCAAATATGTATGATATTAAGTTTATAAAATGGAAATGTTGTTTATTTTATGTGAACTGGGGACAAACACACATCACTGTTGTTGTGAAAGTTTTGTGTACATCTCAAACCACTCTTTTTAAAGAGAGTTTTATGCGGTGCACCTAAAATGACACATCAGCGATGTCGCTCTATTTTAGGATGCACTACACAAAATGAAGGAAGTACTATCCAAGCTCCTAACTTTGAACGGGAGAAGTAAGAGTCTTTTCCAGTAATTTGAAGGAGTCATTGGAATATACTTCTGTGCCGTTATTGGATATTCAACGCCAAGACTCTTCGCCTCATTGGATCAATGTGAAGACTCTTCTCTCCAAAAACTAATTATCTTCACCCGCAAAAAAGAAACTAATTAAGTTAGCACTTAGTTGAATATGTTCTTAGACATTTTGACGTATAACATTGTGTGTATGAATGTAATGCATTTTTGTTGTGCTTATATATAGTTCATGTTTATATAACTTTGTGTCGTAGTGCATCTTGGGGCTGGCTAGCAGTGCAGCCCCAATTTGCATTAGCAAAATATTGTCATCACTGACCGCCGGTATGCAAAGGTGCAATCAGTACAATACTTCCCAGATGCCCCTCTTCAAGATCATCAATGACTGGCCGCACTACCTCTCTATGATGATAAAGTCCTCACTAACCCTGAACTACCGATAACCAATACGTGAAGGAGTTTAATTGTTAAACAATTCAATGAGGGAATCTTAGCTACAATAGCTAAGCACTTATGCATTGGGGAGACTAGTTGCTAAGGTTTTAATGCACTTAACATCTCATGTAAGCACCAATGCATTGGAAGTAGGCTAACCACCTAGCCTCCGATTCAGGATCCGATGCCGCACAGATTCGTGCCGAATTTGGCCAATTGTCACCCCTCGCTGCCTTTAATGGCGAGCGTAGTGCTACAGCCGACCGTTGGGGTCAAATAGTGTCCGCTTCTCCATCGGAACTCTTGACTTTCGGATGGCGCAGCGATGCTGGCTTTAGCCAGAACCCCGAGCTCCCGTCAGCAATGAGACCACCCAGAGGCCATTCCCAGTTGGCATGGTGACCAACTAGGCCTTGACGAGCAGCCGGCTGGAGTCCTCCTCCTTGCTCACTAGGTGTTCGACGAGATGATAGTTTTTGGGTGCCCTATTTTACATCATCTGCTTCGAAAAGTTTGTAGTGCCATAAACCTTCTCTGACCTAATCTTTTTTGGGTGCCCTATTATACATGTCTGTTGGAGATGCTCTTACAACCATTGCTACCTTCTTCATGTGCTGCTGGATGGACAACAGTTGCGAGACCACCTTCCATTGTTCACTTACCAAATTTTGAATCTAATGGATGGAGGGGCAAGAAATTTACTAGCAGAATTTTCAATCCACAAATTCCTCTACCTATTTCTCGTAAAAAAGAGTTTACCATGTATTTATCCAAACTTTCTACGCTTTCAAAGAAGAGTGGTGAAGTACATAGTGTAGATTTTTTGCTCTTTGGGCCCAGTGATTCTTTTGTTATAGAAAATAATAATAAATGTATTCACTTCTTAGAAATTGAGAAATATTTCTCACATGCACATGTTAGAATACACAAGCCAGTTTGCAAATTCCAGTAGCATTCTAATCTACCCAAGGCTAAGGGTTCATCTATAATTTTGAACCAAAGCCAAAAGTCCAAGTTCGTTTCTTCCGTAAATGTGATATTATAAATATCAAAGAATAGCAATATTATTTACGGCCGTATGAGCAAGAGCTCATTTGCACCTGAAGAATAGTAAATTCAAAGAAATAGTAAAAAAACCAAAATATCTGATTTCTTTTGGCATAGAAGATGCTCGGGTGCGTAACATTGGAGGAGCTCTAGGAAAAAAATTGGTTCCAAACAGCAATTTTTTTTCAAGCATTGGAAGATGCTCGGGTGCGTAACATTCGAGCATCCTGAATGCAAAAAAGTTCTGTTTCTCAAATTATTTTGTTATTTTATTTAAATTTACTGTTGACGCACAGAGCACTGAATCGCGACACTCATTTGCTATTTTGCATATCAACTCCCTCTTGTGTGTGTGTGTGTGTGTGTGTGTGTGTGTGTGTGTGTGTGTGTGCAGATCACTATGATATTATGTTTTCATGAAAATTTGGAAATATATATTGTATTTTCAACACACTGTACCTATTTGATTTTTATTTGAGATCTTTAGTTGTATTCCTTAGAATTTTTTTAGAAGTACAAAAGAGATCAGCGAACCCGAGTGGCCATAGGTAATTTACCTGCAAAGTATACGCCAAATCAGAACGCAGTAAGTTGGCGCTTAATTAAGCTGATCTTGCAATAGTTTGACTTTTATAGGTTATGAGAGAATCTCTCTTACACATGCACATGCCCCTAGAACGAGATGATTAGTGATATTTTAATGGAGACTCTCCTCTAATGCAAGGTCTTGACGAGTCAAAACGACCCTTCCAGTGTTCATTGGGGTACCTACATGATCACGTGTTGTACAGTGCATGCATGATGCACGGATAGAATTATAATGGCTAGATCCCATCCGCTGGTAATGGATTGCCAGTTTTCCTTTTCTTTGGGAACGGAATGCAGTACAACATCTCTGCCTGAAAAGAAAGAGAGTAGAGACCAAGAAAAAGGAAGAGTAGGTGCAGAGACGAATATACTACAAGTAGTTAGCATACGAAAAGAGGTGTGTTCCTGTAATTTAATACTACAAGGACTTCGCAAATGAGGAGTTTTGGCACATTTTAGTGTGTGGTGTTGTCACTTTTCTGTCCCATCCATGTAAATATTTTTGGAGCGGCCTACAGCGCGATCATCACTTAAACAATGTAGGAACCCCCTCGAGATAAACTTCTACGACTTGAAGATGGCATATTACTCCCTCCGTCCGAAAATAAGTGTTTTGATCTTAATACAAATTTGTATTAGGGCCAGTACAAGGTTGACACACTTATTTTAGGACAGAGGGAGTATTTGGTTAATGGCAACACAGTTTTTTTGAAATAAATAGGTTCCAGTGTTACCTTTGAGTGGCACATAGCCTCTTTCATTTAGCTCCCGGAGCCGCATTTGAGTCATCAGCGATGCTGCGCTGCAAGCCCAAAGCACCATGCTCGGCACGCCCAGCTCCCGCGCCATGTCCAGAGCGAAGCTCATCAGCGACGTCGGCAGCACGCACGTCACCGGCGGCACGTCAGGGGTGCCGTTGAGCCACAGGAGGAGCTCCTTCAGCGGCTCCGTGGAACGCTGGCTCGTGGCGGCAGACAGCCTGAGGTCGTAGTCCTCGGCGTCCCGGTCAGCTTCCACCAGCCCGTCCGGGATCGCCTCGAACCGGAACCCCTCGTGGCCACGCACTGCGGCGGCGCCCTCCGTGGCCTCCATGACGCGATGGTTGTGCTCGGTGTTGACGAAGGTGATGTAGACGCCGTGGCGGTGCAGCAGCTTGGCCAGCTGGAGCGCCGGTTGATGTTACCGGAGCTCGGGTGGGGAACCACCACGGCGTGCGGCGTCACCATTAGTTCGTTCGTCCGGCCGTCTGCGCGCGCGTACAGAGCTGTGCAATGTGCGTACTATGCTTGTTTATGCGAATCACGATGAGTGTAAAGCTACGTAGGGGAGTATATAGTAGTACTCCACTAGAGAGGGGCCTTCCTGCACGCAGCGGCAGATGCACGCAGCGCATAGCTGATGCCAATCGTGAAGGGACGCGCACCGTCGATGCGGTGCGTGCAGCTGCCACTGCGTCTAGCGATGCACTTCTCGTAGATGCCCTAGCTAATTAGATCGTACTTTGATGTGTAGACTCGATTGGATCGAGGTCTACTCCAGCTCGTAAGTAGTACTCCCTCCATTTCAAAATATAGTGCGCCCGCATTTTTCTAGGTCAAACTTTGATCATAAATTTAACCAACGAGACCAACTGCGGCGGGAGCAAAAGTTATATTTTCTTTCGCCGCAGTCGGTCTCGTTGGTTAAATTTATGGTCAAAGCTGAAGCATGAGAATAGAGGAAGCACTATATTTTGAAACAGAGAAAGTATGTGGTTGACATTAGCGACTAGATTCAACCAAGTCTTTCCATTTGAGAAAGGATCAGAAAGGGATAGAATTAGTGTAGGCGAGCATATACCGAAATACAAGACATGGGACGGCAAGATGTCTCATAGAGATAAGATGAAAATTCCTATCTAATCCGGTGCAATCTCTAAATTCTCCCCGCATAGTCGCAGCAGTAGCGTTGCGAATAACAGGAGTGTCGCGGACGATCAAACTTCAGACTTCAGAGAATAGAAGCCAACAAGCTGACATCCCCCCCCCCCCGCCTCCTCCCCCGTGCAGTCATGGCGGGAGCGTCATGGGCGGTGTCACGTCGCGGACGCGTTGACTATAGAGGAAAACCGACGAGTTGCTCAAGCGAGACGATAGCCCTTTGTGTCATGTTGAGGTAGCCGAGAGTTTGGGCCACCGTGGTCGATGTCGAGTCAGGGATGAATGGTGTCGAGGTAGCCGTTGTGGTGCCATTGGTGCAAGTAAGCACCGTGTAGTCAGGGGCGTGGTGGTGCGTGATGTCTACTACGGAACCTTTTTCTTGTAGACTCGTGTTGGGCATCCAAGAGCAGAGTTTTGTAGGACAGTAGTAAATTTTCCTCAAGTGGATGACCTAAGATTTATCAATCCATGGGAGGCGTAGGATGAAGATGGTCTCTCTCAAACAACCCTGCAACCAAATAACAAAGAGTCTCTTGTGTCCCCAACACACCCAATACAATGGTAAATTGTATAGATGCACTAGTTCGACGAAGAGATGGTGATACAAGTGTAATATGGATGGTAGATATAGATTTTAGTTATCTGAAAATATAAGAACAGCAAGGTAGCAAGTAACAAAAGTGAGCGAAAACGGTATTGCAATGCTTGGAAACAAGGCCTAGGGTTCATACTTTCACTAATGCAAGTTCTCTCAACAATAATAATATAATTAGATCATATGGCAATCCCTCAACGTGCGACAAAGAGTCATTCCAAAGTTCCTAACGCGGAGAACATAAGATGAAATTGCTTGTAGGGTACGAAACCACCTCAAAGTTATTCTTTTCGATCAACAGCCCTAGAGTTCATAGTAAAATAACACCATAAGACACACATCAATCAACCCTAATGTCGCCTAGATACTCCAATGTCACCACAAGTATCTGTGGGTCAATTATACGATATGCATCCAACAACTTCAGATTCATAATATTCAATCCAACACAAAGAACTTCAAAGAGTGCCCCAAGATTCCTACAGGAGAAACAAGGACGAAAACGTGCATCAACCCCTATGCATAGATTACCCAAATGTCACCTCGGGAATCCGCGAGTTGAGTGCCAAAACATACATCAAATGAATCAATAGAACACCCCATTGTCACCACGGGTATCCCACACAAGACATACATCAAGTGTTCTCAAATCCATAATAGTATTCAATCTGATAATAGTGAAGCCTCATAGGTAAAACTCAATTCATAACAATAGGGTAGAGGGGGAGAAACACCATATGATCCAACTATAATAACAAAGCTCGCGGTACATCAAGATCATGCCAAATCAAGAACACGAGAGAGAGAGAGAGAGAGAGAGAGAGAGAGAGAGAGAGATCAAACACATAGCTACTGGTACGTATCCTCAGCACTGAGGATGAGCTACTCCCTCCTCGTCATGGAGAGCGCCGGGATGATGAAGATGGCCAACGGTGATGGTTTCCCCCTCCTGCAGGGTGGCGAAACGGGATCCCGATTGTTTTTTTGTGGCTACAGAGGCTTGCTACGGTGGAACTCCGGGTCTAGGTTTATTTCTAGGGGTTTCTATATTTATAGGAATTTTTGGCATCGAGAACAATTCAGGGGGGGTCCACAAGGAGCCCACAAGACCAGAAGGCGCGCACACGGGGGTAGGGCGCGCCCTCCACCCTTGTGGAGGCCTCGTGGCTCTTCTGGCCCAACTCTTTTGCTTCAGGGGCTTCTTCTGGTCCATAAAAAATCACCGTAAATTTTTAGCTCATTTGGACTCCGTTTGGTATTCCTTTTCTGCGAGACTCAAAAACAAGGAAAAATCATAAACTGGCACAGGGCTCTAGGTTAATAGGTTAGTCCCAAAAATCATATAAAATAGCATATAAATGCATATAAAACATCCAAGATGGATAATATAATAGCATGGAACAATAAAAAATTATAGATACGTTGGAGACGTATCAAGCATCCCCAAGCTTAATTCCTGCTCGTCCTCGAATAGGTAAATGACAAAAACAATTTTTTTTGATGTGGAATGCTACCTAGCACATTTATCAATGTAATTTTCTCTACTGTGGCAAGAATATTCAGATCCATAAGATTCAAAAAAAAGTTTATTATTGACAGAAACACAATAATACTTCAAGCATACTAATAAAGCAATCATGTCTTCTCAAAATAACAAGGCCAAAGCAAGTTATCCCTACAAAATCATATAGTCTGGCTATGCTCCATCTTCATCACACAAAATATTCAAATCATGCACAACCCCGATGACAAGCCAAGCAATTGTTTCATACTTTTGATGTTCTCAAACATTTTCAACTTTCACGCAATACATGAGCGTGAGCCATGGACATAGCACTATAGGTGGAATACATGTTGGGGAACGTAGCAGAAATTCAAAATTTTCTATGCATCACCAAGATCAATCTATGGAGAGACTAGAAACGAGAGAGAGAGGGAGTGCATCTTCATGCCCTTGAAGATCGCTAAGTGGAAGCGTTACAAGAACGTGGTTAATGGAGTCCTACTCGCAGAAGATCCGATCTAGCACCGAACGGACGGTGCCTCCGCGTTCAACACACGTACAGCCCGGAGAAGTCTCCTCCTTCTTGATCCAGCAAGGGGAGAGCAGAAGTTGAGGGAAAACTCCGACAGCACGACGGCATGGTGGTGATGGAGCTCGTGGTTCTCCAGCAAGGCTTCGCCAAGCACTACGGAGGAGGAGGAGGTGTTGGAGGAGGGAGAGGGCTGCACCAGGGGAAGGGTGCGGCTGCCCTCTCTCTCCCTCACTATATATAGGGGGAAGGGAGGAGGGGGAGGCGCCCTAGGGTTCCCTAGGGGAGGGGCAGCGGCCACAGGGGAAACCCTAGATGGGTTTGGGCGCCCCCACCCCCTAGGAAACTTGCCCCCCCCCAAGCCGGGAGGGGCGGCTGCCCTAGGGGTGGCGCCCCCACCTCTCCTGGTTACGTGAGATGGGGTGGGAGGGGCGCTCAGCCCCTTAGTGGGCTGATGTGCCCTCTCCCCTTGGCCCATAAGGCACCCCAATGCTTGCCGGGGCCTCCGAAACCCCTTTCGGACACGCTGGTCATCACCTGGTACCCCCGGAACAATTCCGGACTCCAATACCCTTCGTCCAATAGACCGATCTTCACCTCTGGACCATTTCGGAGCTCCTCGTCATGTCCGGGATCTCATCCGGGACTCCCAAAAACCTTTGGTAACCACATACTATTTCCCATAACAACTCTAGCGTCACCGAACCTTAAGTGTGTAGACCCTATAGGTTCGGGAACCATGCAGACATGACCGAGACATTCTCCGGTCAATAACCAACAACGGGATCTGGATACCCATGTTGGCTCCCACATGTTCCACGATGATCTCATCGGATGAACCATGATGTCGAGGTTTCAATAAATCCCGTATACAATTCCCTTTTTCAATCGGTATGTTACTTGCCCGAGATTCGATCATCGGTATCCCAATACCTCGTTCAATCTCGTTACCGGCAAGTCACTTTACCCGTTCTGTAATGCATGATCCTGTGACTAACTACTTAGTCACATTGAGCTCATTCTGATGATGCATTACCGAGTGGGCCCAGAGATACCTCCCCGTCATACGGAGTGACAAATCCCAGTCTCGATTCGTGCCAACCCAACAGACACTTTCGGAGATACCTGTAGTGCACCTTTATAGCCACCCAGTTACATTGTGACGTTTGGTACACCCAAAGCATTCCTACGGTATCCGGGAGTTGCACAATCTCATGGTCTAAGGAAATGATACTTGACATTAGAAAAGCTCTTAGCAAACGAACTACACGATCTTGTGCTATGCTTAGGATTGGGTCTTGTCCATCACATCATTCTCCTAATGATGTGATCCCGTATCAATGACATCCAATGTCCATGGTCAGGAAACCATGACCATCTGTTGATCAATGAGCTAGTCAACTAGAGGCTCATTAGGGACATGTTGTGGTCTATGTATTCACACATGTATTGCGGTGACCGGTCAATACAATTATAGCATGAATAATAGACAATTATCATGAACAAGGAAATACAATAATAAACATTTTATTATTGCCTCTAGGT